ATGCGAAATGAAAGATGAAAAGCGGTCGGCTTTTGTCGTATCTTTCAAATACTCGAACAATCTAAGTTTCAGTATCAAGCACAGTTTCGGTACCAAGTACAGTCTGCCTCACATGGACAAAACTGACCGTCGCCTCCAAATGTTCGGAACCATGTAGTTGATTCACCACTCAGACGATTGTAATGTCGGCTATCGCGACATCCGACCCGTCGCAAAGATGGTTCTTATTCTAAGGGCCACAAATCAGCAAACTTCCAAGGAATTCAAAAGCGGTAGCAAACACAAAAAATCAGTTCGGTAAAGTCACGCAAACAGGAACACGCTTGTACAACTGAAAATAATAAAAATACAGTGTAATAATATTATATAATATATTTTTGCACAAAAACCATTGTATTTTGTGCCAGTTTAGAGGCATTATCAAATAAAAATAAAGCACGGATCGGGGTAACAGGGAAAAAAACTCCTAAGGAGTAGAGAGGATTGTATTTATGGATAGTTTGGATGGTTCAGGAGAAAAAAACTGCTGCCCGTGAAATGACGTCAGTCCAGAAAGGAATGGTTAATACTGCATCGCATATTTTCAGTATCTATTCCTACTAATGAAATTGGGGCTGGATCAAACAGAAGCTCGCTGTCGTCCGAAGAAATTATCCCTACTGTTGCGGGATGCAGAGTTAGCACCATTTCTCACGGGATGAGACAAGGCAGGAGGAGTAAAGACCACAAACTTCATCAATACGACAGACTAAATTGGTGGATTCAGCACCCAAAATATGTAGGGGTTTTTCTAAAAGCAAAAAACGAGCAATATTTCCCTTCAACAAAAAAAATAGTTTTGGAGAATTTTCACATTCCCGTGTACTCTGTTCCAAATTGCAATTGTGACGATACTGTCGTGAGGGGTGGTGGGTTCACGTGACAGGCGAAGTAGGTCTCCCGCTGGCTTGCAGCTGTAGACTACGCCAGGCGTCCACCTGCTGGTACCCAAATCTCACATATGGCTCCCCGAAGCTAGACTCTGCCTAACAGCCACACCCCGGTAACCGCCTTAACGGGCGGGCTGAACCAGGTGAGGGTATCTGTGTATGCATCTCCGCACACGGCACTCTCGGCTCACAGGCTCACCCTGACGAACACCTACTTCCATTTCCCGATGCGAGAGAAGCCCACCTGGATGCACCCTCAGTCGTGGTGCTAACGCCTGTCGGACTATGTCCTCGTTCTTAGGCGACACCAGCGGGACGTGCTAGTGACAAAGGCGATTCCGGGTGCTGACGGGTGGACTGATCATCGCCTACTCATCTCCGAGATGCGCATTCACCTACAGCCTCGAAGGAGACCCCCAGGTAAGCGACCCCCAGGTAAGCTGAATATTGTCTTGTTGTCCTTGCCTACTCGCCATCTCCACTTCAGCAACGAGCTAGCTCAGCGGCTAGACAGCCTTCCAGTCGCCACCACCGCCGCGGACAACGAGAACGCCTCCGTTGAGAAACGATGATGTTAACTGAGGTACGCAGTCCAGGTGAAGGCGCTGGCCGTCCTCGGTCGCACACGTCGCTAACGCCAAGACTGGTTCAATGATAACGACGCCGTCATCAACAACCTGCTCACCGAGAAGAACCGCCTGCACGAAACCTACGTCGACCGCCCCACCGTCGACAAAAATGCAGCCTTCATCCATGTTCGCTGTCTTGTATAACAGCGGCTGCGCGAGATGCAGGACGCCTGGACGGCTAGTAAAGCTGAGGAGATCCAAGGATAGGCGGGCGAAATCAATAGAAGAAATTCTTCTCCACGATCGAAACCGTCTACGGCCGGCCAACCAAAGCAACTCTTCCTTTTCTCGGCGCTGACGACGGTACCCTACTCACCGAGAAGACATGAACTCTTCAGAATTTAGCCGAGCACTTCCGAGGGATCCTCAACCGTCCCTCACCATCTCCGACGCCGCCATCGCTCGTTTGCGCAAGTGGAAACCAGCGTCGACCTCAACCTCCGCCCACTCTCCACGAAACCACCAGGGCCTTGCAG